CTGGGGTGCTGGTCTTGCCTGTTATTCTTTCTTCCTCAGGCCTCAGGTCCCAGCCCAGGATGGTTTCCTGGTGTGCCCTGCTCTCCACTGGGCCTGGGCCTCCAGGGCTCCTCCACCCACTTAGTGTGCCGGTGCATGCTCGCTGTGGGCGTGGAGCTCTGCTCACCGTTCTCATCTGGCAGCCCTGGTTATGGCTCCCAGCCTGAGGGAGAACTTCCCTTTGCAAAGTTAGATAACAGGCCGGGTGCTCTGTCAGAGGATTGGCGCGGTGGCTCCACGTGCTGCAGCTGGCACAGGGCCAGGTCCGCCCTGCCAAGCAGCGGGAAGGGAAGGCCTGGCTGCAGCCAGAGCTGGCAGGTGGCCGAACCGGGGGTGGACGGGCGGGCCAGGACCGGTGCTGCCCATTGGCTGCCTCAGGCTCCCACCCCGCCTGCCTCCCTAGCCTACAGCTCACAGGCCAGCCCCAACCCCTGCCTCTCCAGCAGATTCTAAACTCCCGGGACCAAGCACCTCCTGCTGGGCCATGTCAAGCTGCGACCGGATCGGTGTAGCCCCTGCCATGGACATGCCTGAGGTCCTCAAGTCTCTACTGGAGCACACTCTGCCTTGGCCAGAGAAGAGGGCAGGTAGGAGCACAGGTGATCTCATTGGCAAGCTGCCCAGGTGCCCAAGGGGTGGGGGGAGGCATGGGGACAGTAACAGACAGGCTAGGGAGGTTTCCCAGCAGGGGTCTGTCCTTGGTGCTGTCCTGAGCAGAGGAAGGGTTGCAGTACAGAGAACGACCCAGGGAAATATGTGGGTGCCACACCAACTCTGGGGCTGTCCCCTAGGTCTGCTGGCTTTGGGGAGCTATGGCCAGTGTGCAGCCAGTGACAGGTGCAATGCTCACGTGGAACAAGGACAGGACAAGAGCGCCTGTTGAAAAAATCCAGCTGAAGGCAGATTGCTTCTTAAACTCCCTCTCTCTGCATGCTAGGAGTAGGCAGAGGAGTGGCAGCAGAGATGGTAGATTTGGGCAGCAGAAGTCTGAGTCTGGAGAAGAGGCTTTCCATGCCTGCTGCTCGCTGGAGGGCTGAACTCACGGATGGGATGGAAGCTGTTATGTAACAGGACCACAAGGCTCAAAGCCCCGCGTTCCTAGGATACCACAGGCAAACATGGGGTGAGGGACAAACGACAATGAGCAGAGCAGAACGAGTGGAGGAAGGCGTGGTGTGAGGGGACAGCCCAGGCAGCCAGCACCAGGTTATCTTGCAAGTCCTGCCTGGGAAACAAGAGTGCCCAAAATGCCTAGTTTTAGTATCTGCTTAGTAATTCTCCAAATCTCTTTAATTCCAAGACATCAGGGCAATGCTCAAGTGCCTCATTGCCTTTATCAATTTTTTTCATGGGGGGAGCGGTGCTGGAGAATGAACCCAGTCTTTGCTTATGCTAAGCACAAGCTTACGACAGAATTACCTGCTGACCCCTCCCTGTTGCCTTTAGAGGAGTCAAGCAAGCCTCTGCTGTCTGAGTCTGACTTAAGGAGCTCAGGGTGTTCCCTCAGGGGACCTTTATCAGGTCTCTACCTCATCTTGCTGCATTGGCACCTGATATAGTTCATCACCCTGCATGTCACCACAGGACTTCCTTCCACAGGACTCTTAGCCCATTCTCAAACTTTAGAGCCTCCTCTCAATCCTCTGGGGCAGGGAAGGGTTTAATAAGTCAAGAAAGGAAAGCAGCAGGCTCTGCTTCTGAAGAGATGCTATCTGAAGGAGAGGGGTGCCCCCAGAGTTTGTGGCAGGGTCCTCAAGGATTCTTATGTATCTTTAAGCCCAGGTCCCTCAGACCACACAACAGTTATGGTTTCCTTTTTTTTTTTTTTGCGGTACTGAGGCTTGAACTCAGGGCCTTCACCTTGAGCCACTTCACCAGCCCTATTTTTGTGAAGGGTTTTTCAAAAGAGTCTTGTGGAACTATTTGCCAGGGCTGGCTTGAAACTGTGATCCTCCTGATCTCTGCCTCCTGAGTCACTAGGATTACAGGCATGAGCCATCGGTGCCTGGCCACAGTTGTGGTTTCTAATACTAGGCATCCATCAGAGGAGTTCCTGTGCTCTCTACCACACAGGGTATCAGCTGCTCACCAGAAGCCCACCTCCTCAGGAAGCCCCCTGAGACTCACCCTGATGAATAAGCCCTAGTAGGGTCCACACCACAAACAGGCCACTTCTGACTTTTTTGCTTCTCTGGGTGGCCTATATGGGTGGAACCAGCTGGAAGGCCTTCCAAAATCTAAGGTAGAGTGTTCCTTTCCTGATCCAGGCACCAATGACAGTGGCACAGCACCCTCCTGCCTCTACACAGGTGTCCCAGGATGCCCTGCTACACTGCAGGCAGGCCCAGGTCCCAGCTGGACAGGGAGAGGTTCTTGAGGGTGACTCAGGGTACTGCTCCTTGGAGGAGGACAGCAAGGCCTTTGAAATATGGCAGCAGCTGCTGGTCACTAGCTACCAGCTGGTCCACAGAGCTCTGGACAGCTGGAATCCCTGTTGCTCACTACGGATGTGCAGTCAGAGCCCAGCCCTTAGAAGACTTGTCAAGATTTCAGGCAAAGCTTCGCCAAGAGCTAGCAAGTTCTGGCTGAGGATTAGTTAGTCCAGTAGAGCTGGGTAGGTCTGAAGGACATAGGCCAGAGTTTCCAGTCACCTCTTGTCACTTCATGTGGTACCTGAGAGTAGTAACATGAAGTCCCACTGTACTGACAATTGCCCCACAGCCTGCTGGGGAGATTAAAATGACGGGGAGTGGGTAGAAGAGCCAAAGGCATCACAATGTCCCCATTCCTTCACTGCCCCCAAGTTGCAATCACTATTCTCCAGAGCTCCCAGACTGTCCAAATGATTAAAAATAACATCTGCCTGAAAAAAATAGGTGAGTGCACACCATCACACTGAACCAGAATTCTAAGCCATCCTGTGGCAAATACTTTAAAAGTTCTTGATGAAGCAGCTTCTCTCCCCATTTCCCACCACTCTGGCTTTGGCCTCAGTGAGAGAGTCAGCAAAGACTACTAGCTTGCTCCTTGCCTCCATGTAAGGCAGTAAGTTTCCCCCAGGGAACCTTGCAAACTCCCCACTTTCCCTTCTTTCTCAGGTCAGTGACTCGGCAATACAGTTAGGTCATGTGCAGAGTGTACCTGGGCTCCAGTGGGAGGGAATTTCACAGGAAAGCCATGCAGAGTGTGAGAAATTCCAGGTGTGCTCTCCCTGCAGCCACCTGCTCCATTTTCTAGTTCAAAGACACTGCCTATGACCCAGGTGGGGTTCCTCTCCCTCTTGCTGTTTCTGGGTCTGTTGCAGCCTGCTCAGACCTCTGTCTCTCTCCTGTCCCTGGATAAGCAGACTTTCTCTAGAAGTGTTGACCAGACCCAAGATTCCCTTGGCTTCCTGGTGGCCATTACTCTAGGTTGGCTTCCTGGTGGCCCTTACTCTAGGTCACCAGTTCAACCCATTTCCCTATGGGCAAAGAAATCCATGTCCAGAAAAATGATGGGTCTATACCCTAAGCCCTAACTTAGATTCCCATGTCTCTGAGACCCTGATTCTTCCTGTCTCTGCCCCTGTCCTTTCTCCAAGGATCCTCTTCTAAGGACTGATTCTCTTCCAATACTCACTCCACTTTTCTTCCCCAGCTTTTAGAAAGACCCTGGGTCTCCAAACTATATATATAGCTCTTTACACCCAACCTTTCCTCAACCCATGGAGACTTAGCTATGCCCAGAAGCACTCCCTGCTCATCTTTCTGCTTTCTCTGCTCACTTGGGTCTCTTTAGGGAGCTGTGAAGCCTGAAACCATGCTTTAAGGTTGAACAAAGTCTTCACTTTGAGCTGGGCAGGCAAGATCCCCACCCTGGGGTACTCCTAAGCCAGAGTCACAAGGGTGAGGTCACAAAGCCCTGGGAGGACAGCAAGAGGCCTTAGAATAACAGACAAGACGCGAACCCTGATTCTGCTGCACAGTGGTTGGGTATCCTTGATTTGCCTCCCCACTCCATCCCCATTCTTTAAAAAAGGGGAAAAGTGGGATGAAGACTTGATTCAAAGGGCAGAGCACCCACCTAGCAAGCATGAAGCCCTCAGTTCAAACCTCAGTACTGCAAAAAAAAAAAAAAAAAAAAAGTTTAAAAAGGGGGAAAATAATACTTGTGCCATAGGCTTGTTGCCAGGACTAAATGAGTTATTCCACATGAAAGCACTGCAAACTGACATGCCATTCCATTTTCTTTAAAAAGCAAAGAGCAGCTTGGTCTGGCACTAGGCTGCTTCCACCTACAATCTGACCCTCGTTCTCTTCTTTCCTACACTTGTAATCTGACCTCCATTCCCTTCTTTCTACCTTCCTTTAAAGAACTAGATGTTCTTTTGTTCACACAAACAAGTGCTGAGGCTCCTAGGGCATTATACCATAACCCTGAACCCAACAGGACAGCCCAGGCAGGACTTCAGAGGGACATGATTGGGCAGAGCAGGGGTACAAGATGAGAGGCTTGGTACAGTCCTCTCAGTGGAGTAAAGTACACAGGCTGAGGGTGAACTCAAAGGAGTCTGGGCTGCCCTAAGCTTGGCCTTACTAGAGGTCCTTGTAGGAACAGCCACAACCTAGGGGACCAGAGCAAAACCTAGGAAGTGTGATATTTGCTTTCAGGAAAAGAAAGGGGGTAGGGCCTTCTATGTGCTGCTTGTGTTGGCTAATTTACTCCTCACTTCAGTCTTCAAAATGGTGTGTTTTCCCCATTCTTCTGGTGTGAAAATGAACTCAGAACTTGGACCATTAGGGGGACTGACCTCTCTTCTTCCCTCCTCCCTTAAAGGGCCCAGAGTCTTCTTCTCCACCTGCCTCCCCATCAGAAATGTGAGAAACATCCTCACCAAGTGCCAGACACTAATGGCAGTGTTGAGGAGTGGCCCTTCCAGGTGGTTTGGCATCAGCTGGACACAAATCTATACTGGTAAAGGAATGATTCCTGAGTCTCACAGCCAGTCTCATGAGCATGTACCAGTTGCCATGCTGCGTGCTTCTATGTCATTCTGTGCAGTGGCATTGCAAGAGAGGATCCTCAGAGATGGAAAAGTCACACAGTTGTCAAGGGTCAAGCCCAGTTTCTCCTGTTTCCAAGTTTGGATCTACCCATATGATTCCCTGATTTCTGAAACGATGTGGTACCTCCTGGTCATTTGGTTATTCATGATTTGTTTAATCAGCATTTGCTACACTTGTGGTTGAGGCATGAATGAGACAAACACTGTCTTTGCTCAACTGGTATTTGCAATCCAGTCAGAAGAGACAGTCAACAATCAGAGGGCCAGGGCTAGCCACTCCAAGAGGTAACATTTAAGCTAAGCCCTGTGAGAAAGAGCCAGCTACAGAAGGAACTTTCAGGCTGTGGAGATAGCACCTGCAGAGGCCCTTTAGTAGTACAGGAAAGACTATCTGTGCAACTGTGGGCCTGGGAGCATGGTTCAAGTGGCACAGCACTTACCTAGCAAGAGCAAGGGCCCTGAATTCAAACCCCACTACCATCAAAAAATAAAATAAAAAAAATAATAAAAGAAAACGTCACTAGGTCCACAGAAGGTGAGCAAGGGTAGGAGAATATGAGGTGGGGTTGAGACTCAGGAGAAAGCCTGCAGGGGCCTCGAAGGTCATAAAAAAGAGTGAAGCTGATATATCCTTGTCTGTAATGCCCTGCCCACCCTCACTATTCTTGTGAAGTAGCAGGTGGGGAAGAAGGAGGTATCCCCAGAACAACCCAAGATGGAATTTTACTAAGAGTTAACTTTGGCTGAGCACTTGTTATTTACCAGGCACTATCCTCAGCACTGTGCCTGAATTGACTCCTTTACTTCTGATACTCAGGACCAGAGAAGCTAAGTAACTTGTCCAAGTCACACAGGAAGTATGAAAGCAGGAATCAGACCCAGGCAGTCAGACTCTGGAGCCTGAACCCTATCACTTACTGTATTATCACCAGGGCTTCAGCTACAGAAACCAGTGGTAGTTGAGACACCACAGAGGCTAGAGTCAGGGCTTCTCTCTAAAAATGGAACTCTTAGGGCAGTTCATCTGTAATGAGAACCCTGGGAGTGTTCAAAATGCAAGCCAAACAGGAAACTAGTACTCTTGAAAGTGTTCAAGAGATGGGCAGGAATTTATAAAGAGCCTCCACCCACCACTTCTCCCCTGGAACACACTGAGACAGAAATACAAACCACAGAGCCCAAACTCTGTAGCCACAGGTATGCAGGCTAGAAAGGAGAGTTGCTGGCAAGGCTAGTTCCAGGGACTTGCCATAAGAATGGCTCATGCTTGTTATTCCAGATTCCACTGTGAGTCAAACACAATCACTATTATTTAATGTTAATAATGCTCCAAATATATGGAATTTGGCTCTGAAAGGTTTGTTAACCCTCCTACCAGCACTAACCCAAACAAGCAAGCCAACAAATATTTACTGAGTACTACCCTGAACATTGTGCTTGCCTGCCTTTGATACTGGAAAGTACACAAATGGCTGGGCTTTGTTAGAACTCAATGGGAGCTTTACCATCATCTGCTCTTTCATATCCCAGGCTCAGGTATAGTTTGTCAGTCCCACTAGATGCTGACTATATGGCCAAAAGTATCATTATCAGGTATCTGATCCAACAGCTTCCATGCTAATGAAAAATCTCTTATTCTGCATATGCTCAATTCAACAAAGTTTTTATCTTGGATAGTTAGCAGGTTTCCGAAAAAGGAAAGAATAGAATTGAAAGCCTATCTAGCTCTGGGAAATAGATATTTCTCATCCAGTTCTGGCTCTTAGACTATAACCCATCCTTAGGCCCCTAGCCTTGTCTTCACACCTAAAATAATTCAACTCCTGACCCAACTCCATCTGAATGGAGGGAGAAGGGTGAGTACCCGCCCACTCCATCTCATCTACTACTATCCTAGGTGGGCACTTAGCATTGCTTATCACAGATAATCCTCATAACCACCCTGTGCAGTAGGCATCTCCATCTCTGTTTCTTAAGAGGAAAATAACTGAGACTTAGTAGTCATTTGCCCAAGGCCACATAGCTGGTCATCAGCTGAAAGGAGACTTTCCCCAGACCTGCCTCCCAAGCCCACAAAGTTACCACTGCCCCAGGGCCAACACTTCCCTTGGGAAGCCACTATCTTGAAACCTATTACTACAGAATACTATGCTACCACTTCATTCCTTTCAAATCTTAACCAGGTAATAACCAGGTAATAACACGGTTGTCTTCTCTCTCTTTCTGGTAGTTTATTAGGAAAGGAGTACACACTTTCAATACACTGAAAGCAAGTAGTCTCTAGAGTAAGAATGAGAACAACCAATAACATGGTCTTCTTAGGGAGTTTATTTCTTTGTAGGACTCACACACTATGGAAATTAGCTAATTACTTCTCACAACATTAATCCCTCTATTAAGATAAAGGGCAAGGTCACAGAGTTATTCCCGAGTAACTGACAGGAGACACAGGTAGAGAGAGGATGCTGGGGTTCTTCTGGGGTCAGGTAGAGAAGGAACAAGAGAACATAATAGCGCTTGCCTTCCTAATGGTGTTGTTGAACAGTACGAGTCAGCAACGTAGCCATCCCCACAGCTTGCAATGAGGCATAAGAGGGAACATTTTTGTAATGCTCCCAAGGTATTTTTGACACACCATTCACCTTTGGTTATGCAGCAGAAAAAGACCCTTTCTGGAGAGTGTTAGTACATGATCAGAGGACAGACTCAAAACCAAGTTTTGAAACCCCAACTTGCTAGCTTTATGTCTTCCTGGTGTCACTTGCCTGTTAGGTGAGCTGCTTCAGGCTGGCTGATGGGTGGAGTAGGCAGTATCCATTTTGGGTAATCATAGCTAAAAAACAGAATCTGAATTGTAAAAAAAATTTTTTTTGGTTGTACTGGGGCTTGAACTTACTAAGCAGGTACTTTACATGAGCAACTCCACCAGCCCAACAATCTAAATTTTTATTTCTTCTTCCTACAACCCACCTTTGTTATAAACAAGTAACTTTCCATTCTGTTACCATCGATCCTCCTCTACTAACCTGAGAATTGTTTTTCCTTCTCAATGTTGTATTAACCATGAACATACACATCTAACTCTAGTCCAGCAAGTTCCTCCATGGCCAAATTAGCCATTAAAAAAAAAGCTTCATATGTTATTTAAATCAATTTCCTTGGAATGCCCTTTGAAATTTGTTTCTAAAACCCCCTAGGTGAGTTTCTCCAAAAAATACCTTAGTTTAGCCACATCCAGAATTCCCACTAACAGGTCTACAACACATAGGTTTACTGTACACGATCTGCTATTGCCACAGTGGATTTATACCCATCAGTTTTAGTAAAACTACCATTTATAGCAATTGCAACTGTGCACTTACATGCATTGAAACACTATAGGGTAGATGCTGACCTGTCTCCACCTAACATATAAAAAGTGAAGCAATGGGCTGGCTGCATCAGATATAAAAACTAGCCAAAGACATTAGTGTGGCAGTTAAGAAGGTCAATTTTGGAATCAGACTCCCATCACTCTGTGCCTTTCAGCACCCAAAGTCCTTCAAATTTCTTGCTTTCTATGCCTGCTCAGGTACTCAACTTCGTTTTCCTCAACTTCCCACCAACTGGGTGTTGCATTCCTGCCTGCACCTACTCCTGGAACCAAGGACTGCCATTGTGGCATTCCCCACGGGAGAGACAAGCCAAGTCCCGTTCCTCTGGAGTTTAAACCTGGAAAGCCTGGTGTTGTTTGGGTTTGAAGCAGAGTATGATTTGTACCGTACAGAGGTACAAACTTCTGAGCGCTGTCTAGGAGCAGCTTCCTTCCTGCAGTGTCTTTCCATCTGTGCACCCCTTGACGTCCTCCAGGCTTCCTAAGGAACTCCCAGGGAATATTTGCATTTTAAGGGAAATGCAAAATGTGGGATCGATGCCTTGTAAAGGAGATTTTTCTTATTCTAGGAAAAGGAAGGGAAAGTCCTGGAAAGGAAGAGAATTCAGAGCTGTTTGGGACTGTAGATTCTCTAGGCCAACCTCTTAATTTTATGGCTGAAGAAACAAGCTCAAGCGGAGCAAGTGGACTTTCCCAAGGTCACAGTCAGTAGGGGGTAGGATAGAAGTGTGTACCGGGGCCCTGGCTCTGGGTTGGGCCTCAAGGTTTCTCCCTCCACGCTAGTGTTTATCCAGCAGCCACGCCCGCTCCAAAACCCGCCATCAGTGGGCAACCTGATACCAGCTTCGGCAGCGGCTGCCAAGCCTGCTCCGGCCATCCCTTCGGCCCTGGCCGGCAGTCCGCCTGCCCTCGGCCAACCTCGGGGTTGCGAGGGAGGAGCGCAGGCTGGGCTGGACATCCCTGTCCCAACACCCAGGGCAGAGTCCCCAGAGCATAAAGACCGGCCCCGCCCGGCTGCTCCCAGTCCCTCCCAGCCGCAGCCGCACGTGCAACGCCTCGTGCAACTACGCCGGCCCCGCCCCCGCTCCCCATTGGCTATCCTGAGCCTTCCCCCTCCCATGCGGCCAGACTCGGCTGCGGCTCCACGTGACCCGCGGAGCTGGCCGCCACTCCCAGCCCGCCCGCTTCCCGTGGAGGTTGCGAAGCGGGGAGAGAAAAAAGAGGCTGCGGTGGTTTGAGAGGAGAGAGAATATTGTGAAGAGGGTGGCGAAGGGGATGACTGGTAGGATCGAAGGGTCCGCTGCGAAAGAAGGCTCACCAAATTCTAGCAGGCACCAATGACGAGCCCAGGGCGGGCGGGGCGGTGCTCCTCACCTGGCCTCGCACGTGTCTCGCTCGCCCGGCCTCTTGGCCAATCCCAGCTGGTGAAGCTACGCCCGCCCTCTCACAGGGCGCACCAATCCGAAGCCGCCCTCCGGGCTTGCTGGCCTGGCCTCATGAATAATGAATACGACGGAGCCTGTCGGCGGGCGGAGCACGGAGGAAGGGAGGCGGAGGGAATGACGGCGCGCCTGCGCAGTGCCGCTCGTGTCGGCAGCTGCTGCGGGTCGCGCGGCTCCTGCCCATCTCGGGGGACGGGCGGGCGGGGGAGTCGAGGCGCGCGAGCAAGGCGCGGGGCAGGATGTCCCACGCGAGCGGCGGGAAGAAGCCGCCAGTGGAGCCGCAGGCGGGGCCAGGCCCGGGGCGCACAGCTGGGGAACGGGGCCTGCCAGGGTCCTTCCCTCTGGTCCTGAAGAAGCTGATGGAGAATCCTCTGCGCGAGGCGCGCCTTGGTGAGGAGGGGGGAAGTTGTCCGCTCGCGCTTGGGGGCGGGGTTTCTGCAGGAGGCGTGTCCTCTTGGGGGCGGGGCGGAACAGGTCAGAGGTCAGCGGGGGATGAAGGGGGACTGGTTGGCCTGAGATGACAAGAGGCCTGCAGGATGAGGCCTGGAGTTAGAAGGTTAGGAAGCGAGTTGGAGAGGATGATCAGGTGGAGCTTAGCAGGGAAGGGTCAAGAGGGAGAAGATGGGGCGGGGGCGTGAAGAGTTCACGTAGGGGGAGTTACAGAGGAGGCTGAAGGGGATCGGAGCAACTATTTACAGGCCGCGCTCCTGGGTGCCTTCCCTGGAGCCTCCTGCATCTGAATCTCTGGGGTGCTTGTATAAAATGCTAGTTCCTGGGCCCCACCCTGTCTACAGATTTGGGGACAGGAGTTGCATTTTTAAGGAGCCACCCCTAAACACTCAACCCCGCGATTTCAAGGTCCACCAAAGTTTAAGAGGCGCTTCTCTCTGTAGCAGATTGTCTTTATATGTGGCCTTTTCTCATCCTGGAAGAGGGCAAGTCTTGCTTCTAGGAGCTGAGTATATTGGCTGGAGCTTTTCTGTACATGTGTCCCTGGGCTGCTGCCGAGATGCACCTGGGGGAGGATCGTGGGGCCAGGGATGGAGTTGCCTGTTAGGAGTAAGGTTTGGGAGAGGTTGGGATGGGATGAGGCTCTGAATTAGGCCTCTGAAGCCCTTCACCTGGTTGGTTGCAGCCACAGTGGCAGGACTGAGGTTCGTCTTACTGCTGAGGCCACAAGAATCCCCAGGGCCTATGTGGAAAACAGGTTTGGCCTGGAAGATGAGGATCAGGCAGCAGTTGGAGTGCCATCTATTGTGGGATTTTATGTACACTGAGGTGTAGTTTGAATCTGAACGAATTTCAATCTGAATTTCCAAGAGCTGTCGGTGTAATTCAGGGATTTGGGAAGGGATGGCCTGTGAATTGTCTTTCCTGGAGAATTAATTTTCCTTTTTAAAATGGCATTTTTCTTCTTTTCCTGACTGTGTTTTGAGGCTCCCATCCCTATGATTGTCACTGTAGGGTTATAAATAGATTTAACACATCAGGTGAGGCCAAGCTCTCTCCTGCTTCAGGACCTCATGTGCACAAATGCTTCTGTTCATTTTTAAGGCAATGCTTTGTTCCATATCTGAGACTGAGACAAGCTGCAGAGACAGGTGTTCACATCTGGCAGGTTCTTGCTTACGATTACCAGAGAATAGTAATTCTTTACATTTTCAGAAAGCACTTTGACATAATCTTATTTAGACTTCCACAACAGTCCCAGCTGAGGAAAGTTGAGATTCAGAGAGGTGGGCCTACTTTCTCAAGGTCAGTAATATGAACCTGTGGCCTTCATTTTGGTACTTTGTTATATCACATTGGCAATCACTAGTGTCATTCCCTGGGACCTGAGTAATCGACAAGTCTGTTATCTCTTCCAATTAATTTAAAACTCCACATTACAAAAACACTGATTTAAAATAGCCTGAATTGCTCAGACTAGGCAAAACCTGGAACTTAACTGTTACTTGTCCTTTGATATAGCTGCTTTTTAAATCTCCCCCTTCTCCTGCCTTCTTTGATCCCAAGTGACCCCATCTGGCACAGGTTAATTCATTTCTGGACAGAATGTAGAGTCAGGATGTCAAGGAAGAAAAGCAGGAAGGCCATCTGGCCCACTGAGCCCACAGGCTTGGCTTTTTTACTTCCCTGTTGGTTTTAAACAAAAACTTGATACAGGAGGCAGTTGCAGGAATTCAAGTGAATGCAAATTAGAAGCCATGACCAAGTTCTGTTGTCAAAACCTTCACCTTCTTAACTCACTGGGTGTGTCCGTTCTTATTGAACTAATAGTCTACTTTTTGGCTATCTGTGGTCTAGGAGTTCATGCATGACTGGTTTATTTCCAACATGATCACTTAATTTCTCCTTTTCACTTCTAAATTCAGAGTTCAAAGTTGTCTCCCTCAATTTTGAAAACCCATTATGAACTTGTCATGATTTTATCTCCCACTTCTCTGATTAGCCTTCCTTTCACTTTGATTTCCTTCTAGTCTTGTCACAGTTCTCTCTTGTCTTTTTTTTCTTAATTGCCCTCTCTTGGATATCCACCTGCATAACTTTTTAACTGAGACAGTTAGGTGGGATCTGGTCCTTACTAGTTGATTAGTTTTGCTTTGAATAGGAGCCATCTTCAGCTCCACTCTTCTTTCCCCCAGAAAATCTGCCTCCAGCCTTTTCTGCTTATTCATGGAAACAGGTCTCTGAAATGGTTGCTCTGGAAAGCTTCTGACAAGACAGCTCTAGGTACTCTCAATCCCTCTGTCCAATAAACCTTAAATGAATGTGTTTGCTAATCCATTATTCTCCAGTCAGTATTTACATTTTCTTGAAGACCACTGTCTGCCTACCTCTTTGTTGGCCACCTGAATCAGACATAGTCCCTGCCTTCTGTGAGCTCACAGTAATAATGAATGCCTACTGTGTACCAGGTACTCTGTAACATTCGCTTTGAAATGTTATCTCTACTCTTCACAAAAGAGGCAGTTTTGTCATTATTTACAGTGAAAGACACTGAGGCTCAAGCTAAGTAACGTGGCTAAGGTCACACATCACAAAGGTAATGGGTGGCAAAGTAGGGATTGAACTAATGGGTGACAGCCGTGGGTTGCTTTGGAGAGACAAGAGGGAACGGGACAGAAGAGCACAAAAGCTCTTGGCCAGAGGACCTCAGCCCTTTCCACACTAAGATATGAGGAAATGTGAGACTCTTTCTTCCTCGTAGCTTCTCTCTTCAGGTGCTAACCCACAGCCTATTCTGCATTAACCCTAGGACATCAAGCCTCAGTGTGTGTAGCTAGCATTGCAGAAAGGCCAACGCATGGAAGAGTGTGTGATGCATCCCTAAAATAGACCAGCCAGCCTGACCTGGTTCAAACACCAGGTTATAACTGAGGCATGGGGTGTACTCTTGAAATGCATGGAATGAGGATGGAATTAGGCCTTTGAGAAAGTTGGATCTGTCCTGAGGCTCACTGCCCACCTCCTGGGATTGAGTTTCACTCTTGTGTGGTTATCTCATCATAGAATTTGTTTGCAGATAAGGAAAAGGGGAAGGAAAAGCTGGAGGAGGATGAGGCTGCAGCAGCCAGCACCATGGCCGTCTCGGCCTCCCTCATGCCACCCATCTGGGACAAGACTATCCCCTACGATGGCGAGTCTTTCCACCTAGAGTACATGGACCTGGACGAGTTCCTGCTGGAAAATGGCATCCCTGCCAGCCCCACCCACCTGGCCCAGAGCCTGCTGCTGCCAATGGCTGAGCTAGAAGGGAAGGAGTCTGCCAGTTCTTCCACGGCATCCCCGCCATCCTCCTCTACTGCCATCTTTCAGCCCTCCGAAACTGTATCCAGCACAGGTTGGTGACAGGCTTACACATCCCATCCAAGGAGTCCACTTCCCATTGAGGGCTACTGGGTCCAAGTTCCCTGTGAGTCCCTTCTTTGAGGGAAGGCCCTGGTAGGCTGCATGGTGGAAGAACCCTTTGCTCCCCATCTTTAGCACTGTCTGCCTAGACCAGAAATAAAAGTAGTAGCTACACCAACAGCAGTCAGAGCCTCTCTGCCAGTTGGTGTGCCTCAAATGCTCAGGACAGTGGAGTGAGCTCCTCTGGTTTTCAGCTTTACAAAAGAGAAATCACATTTTACATCTCCTTGATGCTGCTCTTTTACCCCTATCACCTGCACTTTGCCACAGATTATTGGGAAGCTCAGGCAATATTATTAATGCTGTCATTATTATAACCATTATAAGTGCTTACATTTTTTAGCACTTATTCTGTGACAGATATTAGCATAAAGTTATCAAAATAACCTTATAAGATTAGTACTATTATCCCTGTTTTGCAGGTGAGAAAACTGAGGCACAGAGAAATTAAGTAACTTGCCCAGGTCACACAGCTGGTATGTACCGGAGGCAGCTCTTGAATCCAGGATGTCTGTCTCCATAGGCAGGCACTGGTTAGGCAATGGCCTGAAAAAGGCATTCTCACTGCCTGGAAAACATCTTCAGGAGCTGCTATCATCCTCTTGTTCTTTTCCTATTTTGCCTATGGGGGGTTGTTTGTTTTCATGCCACCTAGACATGAACCCACTGAGGAAGACATGGCTTCTGCCTCAGCTAGTTCTGCAGAGCTTTCTGCAGGCTGAAAGTCTTACAAACTGATGTCTCCTGGTTTGTCACACAGGTAACCCACACTCAGGAAATTTTCATGCTATATATTTTTGTAACTTTTTGGTATAGACACCTTACCCAATAAAATACAAAAGCAAGGGGCTAAGCCCTAGGTTTAGTCCCAGCACCAAAAAAAGAAACAGAGACTACTGCTGTAATGAGCTGCCAAGTAGCCAGCGTGCATAATGTAGTAAGAACCCATCTCAAAAAAATTTTTGTTGTTGCTGTATTTGGGATTGGGATTTGAATTCAGGAATTCACACTTGCAAAGCAGGTACTCTACCACTTGAGCCACACCTCCAGTCCTAAATTTTGTTTTTGAGCTAGGGTCTCACTAACTTTGCCTCGAAGTCACAAGCTCTTGATTCTCCTGCCTCTGCCCTCCCTCTCAGTAGCTGGGGTTATAAGCATGAACCACTATGCCTGGCCAGAATTCTCATTTTTGTGCAGGTTGAGTTGTCCTAGAAAGCTAGTCGCATGGATGGGTAGTGGGGCAGAGGGCAGTGAACCCCTATTTGTCCCTTAGGCCACTTAGGTGACATCTGCTTTTGATTTGTTTTTAAGAAAAGATTTTTGAAGAAGTATGGCATATACAAGTGCACTTATCATAAGTATACAACTCTTCGTGGGTCTTCAGAAGGTGAACTCATCCATGTAATTACCACCTAAATTAGGATATAGAACACTGTTGGCATCTCTCAAGTGCCTTGTGACCCTGGCAGGTAATCATTCTCTTTTTTTTTTTTGTGGTACTGGGGCTTGGACTCAGGGCCTACACCTTGAGTCACTCCACCAGCCCTATTTTTGTGAAGGGTTTTTCAAGATAGGTGTCTCATGGAACTATTTGCCCTGGCTGGCTTCGAACCCCAGTCCTCCTGATGTCTGCCTCCTGAGTAGCTAGGATTACAGGTGTGAGCCACTGGCGCCCGGCTCTTTAGTTATTTTGGAGACAGGAGTCTCACAAACTGTCGGGCTGGCCTTGAACATCAATCCTCCCACTTTCAGCCTCCCAAGTAGCTAGGATTACAGGTGTGAGACACCAGTGCCAGCTTTTCTGTTTTTAAATATTAAAAGTTGGGCTGGGATTTATCTCAGTGGTAAAGCACTTGCTTAGCATGCATGAGGCCCTAGGTTCAATTCCCAACACCCACAAAAAATTATAACTTAACTGAATTTATACTCTTACATTTACAGCTTTCTATAACTAGTATTATAATGCACATATAAATTACGTGGAGATCAGAATTTAACCTGTTCTTTACAGAAAATGCAGAATACTCAGTTAACAGAAAAATTGCAATACAGATTGTAAGATTTATATTGAAGAATTGTTAAATAAAAGTCCTCCCTTTTTTTTTTTTTTTTTGGTGGTACTTGGGTTTGAATTTGGCCTCATGCTTGCTAGGCAGGCATTCTACCACCTGAGCCACTCTGCCAGCCCTTAATTTTTGAATTATATAGAAAAGCCATAAGTAATATTCTTATGTTTCTGGCTTCTTTTAGTCAACTTTATATTTGTGAAAATCAGCCATTTTGTTGCTTGTGGCACTGGTTTATTTTCGTTGTTGAATAGTATTCCATTGTGTGAACACATCACAGTTTCTCCATTCTGCAGTTGAAGGGTATCAGGGATGTTTTAGTATTGGTTATGGATACTGCTGCTATGAACATTCATGTACATGTCTTTTGGTACATATGTATATGTATTTCTCTTGGGCATTTATATAGGAATATACTGGCTGTGTTGGTGGACATACATGTATTCAACTCTTGCAGATACTGTCAAACAGTGTACACAGTGATTGCATCCACCAGCAGGGTAGTAAGAGTTCTAAGTTGTCAGCCTTTGATGTTAATTTTAATTTATTTAATTTTTTTGTGGGACGGGGGGTCAGAACTCAGGGCTTTGTGCTTGCAAAGCAGATGCTTTTTCACTTGAGCCACACCTCTGGTCCATTTTGCTCTAGTTATTTTGGAGATTGAGTCTCACAAACTATTAGCCTGGCTGGCCTCAAACTGCAATCCTCCTGATTTCAGCCTCCCAAGTAGCTCGAATTATAGGAGCGAACCATTGGCACCTGGCTAATTTTTAGTATTTTTTTTTACTGTGGATCTCAGAGAATAATGTTTCAGGTAAAATACCAAATACTTATTACTTTTTCCTCTTCTTCTAGCAGTTATTTTAAGATCTTACAGTTAGTTGCAAGAATTTGTTCACAAAGCTGTCTACTGGGAAGGGGGAATTCCTCAAAATCCCTGCTCCTAAATCTTACTTTTATGCATGCTTTTGAAATTGTCCTGTTTTGTTCTGTTCCTAAGACAGTCACACCTCAAGCATTTAGTTGCTATTGAAGGGCATCCATACATGGTGTCACTTCAAGCAGCGTTTTCATGTGGTGGGTACCTTGGTTGTTTGTCTTGCAGGTATGGAGTTTGGTGAATCCCTATATCCTACAGTTATCATTAGTTCCTGTGCATCTGTTCCTCTGACAGTCAGACCTCTGATTTAACTCCATATCCTCTAAAAAGATACAGAGAGTTGTTTTTTTGGTTGTTTTGGCAGTACTGGGTTTTGAGCTCAGGGTCTCATGCTTGCTAGGTAGGTGCTTTATCAGTTGAGTCATCCAGTCCTTTATTGTGTTGGGTATTTTTGAGATACTCTCTAAAACTATTTGCCTGAAGCTGGCTTCGAACCATGATCCTCCTGATTTCTGCCTCCTGTTTAACTAGGATTACAGACATGAGCCACCAGTGCCCAGCTATAGAGAGTGTACGTACAGGATCCAATTAAAACCTGTCTGATCATGTCATTCCCCTGCTCATAACCCTCTAGTGGCTTTACTCAAGAGAAAGGTCTAAATCAGCATAATTGACACTTAGCCCTGGTAACCTTTTTGTTAGAATTGGAGAAGGGACTTTGATTTTAATTTTGTCATCTTGTGCGTTGTAGGGTGTGTAGCATCTTCCCTGGCTGCTACCCAGTAGATGACATGTCCAAATACCCCCATAGGACGAAATTGCCCCCTGTTAAGAACCACAGTCTCATATTAAGATTGGAGACCCAACATTTTCTGTTCTAGCTCTTCCAGTCACTCTCCCTCTCATGCATTCACTGCAGCCACATGGGCCTCCTTGCTGTTCCTTCAACAGCCAAGTACATACCTCAAGGCTTTTGTACTTGTTCACACTTTCTGAAATGTTCTCCCAAATATGTGTATGGCAGCTAACAATTTTTTGTGGTACTGGGATTTGAACTCAGGGCTTCCCACTTGCTAGGCTGGTGCTGTACTGCTTGAGCCATGCCCCAGCCTGGCATCTAATTTTTTTCTCTTTTTTTTTTTTTTTTGCAGTACTGGGGTTTGAATTCAGAGCCCACACAGTGCCACTCCACCAGCCCCTTTTTGTGAAGGGTTTTTTGTAGATAGGGTCTTGAGAATTATTTGCTCAGACTGGCTTTGAATCTCAGTCCTCCTGATCTCTGCCTCCTGAGTAGTTAGGATTATAGGTGTGAGCCACCAGAGCCCAGCTTAATATTTAAATTTTTAAAAATTTGTATAACATCAACCACCCCCTCTAGAGTATCATTCTGTGAAGGCAGGGATTTTTACTTGTCTGCTATACTGTTTTGTCTTTGCCAGGGCAGTGCCTCTGGCATATAGTTGTTCAGTAAATATCTGCTGGCTGAATATTTTGTGTACTCCTATCAGTACCATTAAGTAGTAGGTCAAAAATTTAGGGTTGTTTTTTTGTTTTGTTTTTTGAAGTACTGGGATTTGAACTCAGGGCCTACACCTTGAGCCACTCCACCACCCTTTTTTGTGATAGGGTTTTTCAAGATAGGGTCTCAAGAACTGTTTGCCTGGGCTGGCTTCAAACCTCAATCCTCCTGATCTCTGCCTCCTGAGTAGCTAGGGTTACAGGCATGAGGTGCTGGTGCCCAGCAGGTGTTTTTTGGGTTTTTTGTTTGTTTGTTTGTTTTAAATGTAGTAGCTCTTATCTCTAATAATACACAACCTTTGAACTCTGAAATTGGCTTTAATCCAATGGTCATTATAAAGGAGCAACCAGATGGGGCAGGGAAGAACAGGAGTCAGAATCAGACTGATTCAAATTTTAGTTCAGTCACTTCTCTGTGTGACCCAGGGAAAACCATTGCATTTATCTGAGTTTTAGTGTGCTTCTCTGTAGAACAGTTAACATTCATCTTCCTTTCAGATGTGTTATAAGATTTAACTGAGCACAGTGATGGACATGTCTCAGGGACTCAAAAGTGGAACCCATGTCAGCTGCTCAGTCATGTCCCTAGCCCATTGTAGACCACAGAAAGATTCAGCTGTTTCTCTTTACTTGAGATACAAGAAGTTACTGGGTATAATGATTTAATATTTTGTTCAACATTTCTGGGGGGAAACAATTGGAAAATCCTATCTGTTTTGAGAGTCTCTTATTTCCTTTACAGCATTCTGTTTCTAAAGGGACGAATTCTTGGGCTGGGGAATGTAGAGCACGTGCTTAGCATGCGTGATGCTCTGGGCTTGATCCCTAGCACTGAAAAGGGGGGCAAGATTCTTCTGTGTTCATGCTGTTGAATTGAACCATGTGTGCCTTTTTGGTTTAAGGTCTTTTTTTGTGTGTGTCTTTTTGGTTGTGGTATTCTTCCCTGTAAGTGGTAGTGGTTTGTGCAGCCTTGAAATTAAAGGGCCTTTGGGTGGGTGATGTGGATCATTTCTGACCAGTGAGCTACTTCCAGACCACCTGTCTGTGTATTTTTCAGAATCTTCTCTGAAAAAAGAGAGAGAGACTCCCAGTCCCATTGATCCCAACTGTGTGGAGGTGGATGTGAACTTCAATCCTGACCCTGCTGACCTGGTCCTCTCCAGCGTGCCAGGTGGGGAGCTCTTCAACCCTCGGAAGCACAAATTTGCAGAGGAGGACCTGAAGCCCCAGCCCATGATCAAAAAGGCCAAAAAAGTTTTTGTTCCTGATGAGCAGAAGGTAATCTAGTATCTTTTATTATTAGTAAAAGTATAGCAGTAGTTAAGAGTTTAGGGACTAGGCTAGGGTGTAGCTCAGTGGTAGAGTGTTTGCCTAACGTATGTGAGGCCCTGAGCTCCATCCTCAGCACGACAAAAATTAATTCATTAAAGTCCAGGAACTGTGCTTCCTAGATGTGATTTTATCTGGAGAACCCTCCGTTCTTGTGGACACCATCTAGAAAGACATGAGTTTAGTACATAGCCACATCCTATAGCAATTTGGCAGAAATAAAGGTAGTCAGGTGTCCTTTGGCCCCAGTGACTGTTGTAGCTTCTCTCTCCTCTCCAGGGCCTCTGTTGGAGTCCCACCTCTCTGGCTTTAGACCAGACATTAGGCAGGAGATCACTAGGCCACAGGAACTGGGGTTAGATAAGTTTCCATTTTGAAAAACAAAAGACAGTTTATATGTTGCCATCCCCAGGGATAAGTAAGCAGCTCTCAAGTTGATGGTTCTGTAGGAACTGATAGAAAGAAGGAACTTTGATTTTTCTATTCTCTCCACTGAAAAACATACAGGAAGGACTTTTCATCTGAGCTTTGAAGTCAAGGCAGGCCTGGGTACAGACTACACCTATCACCTAAGACCTCACTGTGCCTCAGGTTTCTCATCTGTAAATGGGTGTAACAGCACCTGCCTCTCAGAAAGGTTTCTCAGACTCTAATGATGTTGATACTGCTAGATGTTTATATGGCACTTATTGTAGGCCAGGTACTTTTACACAGGAGACCCTAAAGCCAAAAGGACTGGGGGGCACAGCTTAAGTACAGAGTTCCTGCCTAGCAAGTGTAGACTTTTTTTGTTTTTTGGCACTACTGGGGTTTGAACTCAGGGCCTCATGCTTGGTAGGCAAGCACTCTACCACCTGAGCCACTCCCCCAACTCAAAAGTGTAAGACTCTTGAGTTCAAACCCCAGTCCTCCCTCCCCACCAAAAAATATTTGAACTCAGGACTGGACTCAGATTGCAGGCCCTTAATACAACCAGAACACCTAAACAAGGCAAGGGCCTAGGTGGTACTTTGTGTTTTGACAGCCCACAGAAAACTACCAGTCAAGGGAGATGCATCTTTCCTTTCAGAGGACTTGTTTCTAATTCTGCCCCTCTGAGGACAGGGCAGTACTCCTCAGTGTTTCTTGGCACATGCCCCACTTTTCCCTAGTGTCCCAGCTTTAGTTTTGACCATACCAATGAATTATGAGAGGAATCTGGGTTATATGAGGGAAAGATTGGGTTTCCTCATGGGGAAGATGACAAGACCCACAGAGGGCACTCTCCCACAGGATGAAAAGTACTGGACAAGACGCAAGAAGAACAACGTGGCAGCTAAACGGTCCCGGGATGCCCGACGCCTGAAGGAGAACCAGATCACCATCCGAGCGGCCTTCCTGGAGAAGGAGAACACAGCCTTGCGAACAGAGGTCGCTGAGCTGCGCAAGGAAGTGGGCAAGTGCAAGACCATCGTGTCCAAGTATGAGACCAAGTATGGGCCCTTGTAACCCACACCCCCCTCCCAGGCAGGGCACTGCCTGCACCTCAGACCTCTGCCTGGGGCTCCCTGAACCCCACACACGCGTGGAGACTTAGGACTCGTCGTGGAGACTTGGGACTCGTCGTGGGCACATAGTGGTGCCCTGCTCTGGGAGTGTTCACGTCTCAGCTTCATTATAATACGGCCAGTGCACGGGGCACCTTTCCTGGGGGGGGGGCCAGCCTCATTTCAGACGGGGAATGTGAGATAATCCATGTAGACAGGTGAATGGTCTTAAGTTTTTGTTCTTGGATGTCCCAACTGAATCAGAAGGAGATCTCTGAGTCCAAATCTCTCCTTTCATAGGGTTCTTAGGCTACCCTCAACTCTCCCCCAGTCTCCAGCCTGGGCTGCCGAGGGATGTCTTTGCAGAATGAGTCATGATCATTGTCACCCTTACGTCGTCTCAGGTAGCAGGTGCATTTCTACTTGGGATGTGTCTGTCGTGCACCTCACGTTCCCCGTAAAGTCTTAGAAATATCTAGTCCTATCTCCCTTGGAGATAGGACATACCAGCTCTTCTGGTAGTGTATACAGGGTGGGCAGCCACAGGAGTGAGGTCTCTGCATAACCTGGGATGAGGCTGGGTATGGGCCCTGCAGCAAAAGTACACCCAGCTGTTCTTAGCACACACACACCCACCCCGCCCCTTTTCTCTTGTGGCTCTAAGACTTGAGGTCTAGAAGCCAGGGAGGAGGCCCTGGGGAGTGCTTCTTTGTGTCTCACCTGCTATGGAGGTGAGACTCCCAGGACAGCTGGTCTCTGGGTCCTGATCAGTACAGAGGAAGGCTTTCTCATCTTCTCTTTCCAGGCCAGTCCTGGAGGTCACCAGAACCTCTTGTTTATCCCAGTAGACTGGCTTCCGAGCTTGCTGGTTCTTTTCACCCCATAACCATTCTCAAATCTTAGATTTGAAAGGAAGCTTTAACTTCCTGGGCCCAAGGTACCTCTCCCACAGGGTGTTTAGGATACTGGCCTCTATACTGTGGGCACCAGAGCTGGGGGCTGTTTCTTGAGAAGCTCCATTGTTTTCTTGCTCTGCCTACCAGTGTGGCCCAGGCCAGAGCCTGCTCTTCCTGAAGGCAGAAGAGGACCTCCCAGTTTTGGTATCAGGATTCCTACTGTGCAGTCTGCCCAGAAGGCAGATTCAGCATTGCAGGGCACCTGAACAGGAGTTACTGAGGTCACAATGCAACTGTCATGGGATAGAAGGCTCTTGGGACATTTTCCCAGCCTAGAATCCCTCAGTCTAGGAGTTGGGAGTTGCCCTCCCAGGCCTGGCCATGGAGTGGAGCAATTCTTGCAGCTGCAGCTTCTTCTGCCTCACAGCTGCTCCTTTCTCTTCTGTTCCACTGGATTCACCCTTGTGATCTGCCCAGAAGATTAACTGAGGGAAGTCGTGTAGCCCTCTGCTCATTTGGGTCAGTTGGGGCACCCTTGAGATGGGTGTGTTTATTTGCTCAGGGCGGGCAGCCCATGTGAAGTGGAGACAGAGGTGATGGGGGCACTTTGTCATACTTAACACTGGCTTTATTTAAAATGGTGGCTCAGAGTCCCGGGCCCCGACTTGTAAAGACTTTTCATAACAGATGTTAAGACCAGGGGAAGCTGTCTACTGGCCATGGATTGTACCCAGAGGATGCTGAAGCCCTCTGGGGACTTGTACACCCACTTCTCCTGGGGACTTGACAAGTGTTCCTGAGGCCAAGGGTTGTCTCCTCTCCCACAAGGCCCCTTTACTTTGACTTTGTGGTTCTGTAGAAACCATGTGCCCACTTTTCACTCTGTTATAACCACACAGGGCAATTGCATCTAGCATGTCAGTGTCCTTCCCCAGGCTGCCTGACCACCTGCCCAGCACTCTCCCTCTGGGCTGGCTGCTCACCCAGAGGCAGTTCTTATTTTTGTTATTGGTGGATGAGCCTTTAACAGCTCATTTTTTTTGGCTAGAAAACGTGAGGTTTGTGATTTTTTTTCAGTTTTATTTTTTTAAGGGATGGACCCTTCATCTCTGGATGGCATCCGTGTTCCATCCCTACCCTGCTCAGTGGATGGGATGGGGCTTGATTCTTTCCCTTTGGTCCCACCTTCTGCCTGTGTGGTGCCCTCCCCTCCTTCCCCCAGGCAGGGGTGTCTGGTTCCTTCCCAAAGTGCTGACTTGGAAACAGTGTGACTGATGGTCTCTTGGAAGAGCCCCCTTTGAGTCAGGAGCTTAGCAAGGACAGGAAGGAGTATGTCTGGAAGTTGTTTTGGGGAGAAGCACTCAGGTGAGCTTGACTTCGCCCCTGGCCTAGGAACCAAAGCCTTGCAGAGAGGATTGGTACCTGCTTAGTCTGTCTGGCTGTGGGAGTCTCCTGACTCCCTCTTGGGGGCTCTCTCTCTAGGAGCCAACAATTGAAGCCTAAGGCTTCTGCACCAGAGGCTAGAGAATCTGACTTAAATTTGGCTGTCCATGGGTTCACCTTGGGCTGGGAAGTGCTGTCCACTTCCTAGGCATCCTGTCTTCAACTTAGTGAGAGCCAAGGGCAGACAAATCATGAATGAAGTAGGACATTACAAAAATGTATACATAAGAAATGTCTATATATAGAAATATATACATCTACAGTGAGCCAGCAGTCTTTTGGAGGATATGGGTGATCTGACCCTTGGCCAAAGGATGAGCTTTGCCTGTGTGATTCCTGTGGCTAAGGAAGGCACTCAGCAATGAACTTTACCCTAGTCTGCACACCCTGCTGAGTGGGACTCCTGCAGCCTGCTCTGCAGCTCCTGTACTCCTTCAGCCTGGGGCAGGGTGGCCCTTTGTACTGGGCAGCTTTCCACAGGGCCCAGGAGCTCCTGGTTTTCATGGCAAAGCTCCACCCCAGAGCTCCTTTAACATCTGTCAATTAAGTGCAATAAATTTTTCTAGAAAATGGCAAAGATGAATTCCAGGTGGAGATTGTTATCTTTTGGTTTGGGGGATGCCAGAACACCACTTGGGTTTATTTTTCTAAGTGCATGTGATGAAACGGAATGTGTGGGGCCTGTGTCCTCCCCAGGAGCCAACATTCCAGTGGCCCCTGTCTTCCTTACCTTTGTTGGGGGAAGGAGGCCAGGAAAAAAAAAAAAAACCCTTCTTCCCAGCTGGAGAGGGCAGAAGCAGACTGCAGCCCATGGCCTTACGCGCGCGTGTGCGTGTGCGTGTGTGTGTGCATGCATGCATGTGTGTGAGAGAGAGAGAGAGAATCGCTGTTGGTGGGCCAGAGTGATGTAGTAGGGAGGGAAGCTGGGAATGTATCCTTTTCAAATCAAAATTAAATATTTTGAGACAAGAATTTTGTGATGGTCTTTTCTGTCATCCCCTCTCCCATGTTTCTTCTCTTATATGTTGGACTGAGTCAAGTCAGGAAACTTTTATCTCATCAGAACCCCATCTCAGGCACCACCTCTATCACCAGCCAGATGCCCTTGGCCAAGTCACCTAATCCTGCTGTTCCTCAGTTTCCTCATATGTTAGAGGGAAGTAACTCCTGCTCGGTTTATATTGAGAAAGGATATATCCCAGACCAAAGGAAATTTAAACAAAAGTAGTATATAACTGGTAGAAAGGTGGGGGACTGCTTATGAAAAGTGTTCCCAAACACTTGATGGCAAGTATGTAAAAAGAGAAAAGAATGAAGAAGAAATCTGGGTGTGGTGGTGTACACCTGTGATGGCATTTATTCAAGAAGTTGAGTCAGGAAACCATCCTAGCATACACAGCAAGTTCAAGGCCAGCCGGGGCAACATAACGAGACCCTGTCTTAAAAAAAAAAAATACAAAAGACAAAAATTTTGGGGTCCTAGTAGTGGGATTCTGAGAGCTTTTTTTTCTCCTGTTACCAAATTTTCTGCCCATGGTCATGAGACAATAATTAAAAGAGAAGATTTACAGAAGGGTGCAGCCATGTGCAGGGCACCAGTGCAGTCATTGCCAGTTGATCGACTCTGTATTGATGTCCCTGGATCCTCTGCTCAAGCTGACGTGCGCCATAGAAGCTTTCATCCAGGGAAAGGGGGCAAATTAGGGTGTGCCACCCTTGGCAGTACCTGCAACAAATCTTGCTCCTGCTCCTGCCCCATTCTCCCTCCACTTATTGTGGTGCCACTTCTTCAGCAAGGCCTGAGCCACCTTTTATAACCAAAACCACTGCTTGCACCCAGCATGTTGTTAGTGTTCAGGTTTCCTGTGGCTTGGGGAACCAGGAATTTTGTAAAGGGGAAAGATAACATTTGAAGTTTGAAGACATGGCTGGTTAGGTGGACTTTTTAAATTTATTTATGTTTATTTGTTTGTTTGCAGTACTGGGGCTTGAACTCAGGGCCTACACCGAAAGCCACTCTACCAACCCTTTTTTGTGATGGGTTTTTTCAAGATAGGGTCTCGAAAACTTTTCCTAGTCTGGCTTTGCACTGCGATCTTCCTCAGTAGCTAGGATTATAGGCATGAGCCACCAGTGCCTGGCTTTAAACTTATTTTTGTATGTGTAATTTTGTTTAGATTTTATTGATGCAAAAGCAACTAGAATATTCAACTGAATGCTAAATTGCAGGGAATATTCAGATGGTAGCTCTGTTTATATTCCACGGTGTACCTCTTACAACAGTGAAATTTTCTTAAGATGTTTTAAGAAATGCTCAGTCACAAGCTGGCGGAGTGAGTGGCTCAACCAGTAGAGTGCCTGCCCAGCAAGCATGAGGCCCTGAGTTCAAACCTCTACCACCAAAAAAGTCAATAGATAGTTTTTAAAACATTGAAACATTGGTATAAAACCAATCATAGTAAAACCAAAAAAATGTATTTATCTTGGTTCTTAATCCATATGTACAGCAAAATCTAACAAATGAGGGCTGGAGATGTAGCTCGGTGGTTAAATGTTTGCACGCTAGCGTGCACTAGGCCCTGAGTTGCATCCCCAGTACTGGGAAAAAAAAGTCTAGCAAATGAGAATCCTGTGACTCTGGCTGATACTTTTAAGGCATTTATGACCCTTCAATGAGTTGGATTTGGTTCAAAGGGTCCAGTTCGTGATTGGTCATCCAATGCTTTGAGGCCTATGGTGAGACATATCATCATGGCAAGAAGTGAATGGGGAAGCAAAGCTGCTTACTTCTTGGCACTTGGGAAGTACAAAGGCTGTACTTTTTAAAAGTGGCCATCCTGTAAATTAAACATTGAGACTCAGAAAGACAAAATAATGTGCCCCAAATCACAGCAACAGGGCAAAAATAGGGAGTGGTAAATGTACAGTGAGAAGACTGGGGAACTAGGAGAGACTTACCATGTGGGAAGACCTTTCTGGGGGTAATGTTGAAGCTGGGAAAGGAGGGCAAATGGATGTGACTTGTTTCCAAAGTTCCCATACAAGTCGAGTACAAAGCCAAGAGTCCTGCAGGCAGCTTCTGACCTTGATCCAGAGACCATTCAGTAGGAAAAAGCCATGAGGCATAAGTAAAACAGTTATGAGAGGATCCAGGATAACGAACCTGATGCCCCAGCCTCTTGTCCCTGAGGTTGCAAATAGGACTTCTAGGATTCAGGTGAAGCAAAGCAAGCCTTTAGGCAAAGGCCTCACTCAAGGCCTTGCACACCCCCAAGTCCATCCCTGTGGTTCATCTGAACCTAGCCCTGGGCACAGTTGATTGGTCTGGGGGAAGCATATGATCCAAGAGGCCTAGACAACCTGAGGTCTGCATCTCCCCAGCAACAGCCTGTTTTAATCTACTGTGTTTTCCATCTACATATGAACGCTATTTTCTTTTTTTTTGGTGGGACTGAGATTTGAACTTAGGACCTTGCACTTGCAAAGCAGGCGCTGTACCACTAGAGCCACACCTCCAGTCCTGTGTACAAACTCTCACTACAAGCAGAGATTTGTACAGAATAGAAAGTAGGGCCCTGGGGGAGGTGGGGGGAATTGAAATATGTCAAAACTGTGAAGAACACCAGCTTTGGAGTTAGGCAGTCCTGGGTTCCAACACTGCCTACATCACCAATTTGATCTGGGGAAAGTCACTTCCCCTCTTGTGTTCCATTTTCTCATGTGAAGAGTGTGACACTAACCTAAGGCTATTGTAAGAATTCCCTGGTGTGGGATGATGTTGGCCCAGGGAAGCTGCCACCACAGCAAAGGTGTATAAGGTACTGACATGCACCAAGGTAATCACCCCCAGTACCAGTAGCTGTCTGCCCTAGAGAGGGGTGCAGTCAGGCTCAGACCAGCTGTGTGACTTTGGGCAAATCACTCTCTGCTATTTCTGCTGCTGTATAATGAAAATGTGCTACACACATAATGCGTGTAGTACCTGAGACAATGCAGCTCATTAACTCCCTTTCCCCTGCCACCCCCAGCTCCCTGGAGAACAAATCTCCAAAGCTGGACATCTCCCCACCTTGACTGCACCCTTCCTACCCCGCCTCTCACTGTGCCAGGCTTACCCAGCCTGCAATTCCTGACTCCAGCAGCTAATCCAGGAGAGCTGCCAGCCAGAGATAGGGGTGAACTACAGACGAAATTAGAAACAGGCTTCAAAGCGGACATTCCAGTCCCTCAGCCTTCTCTCCCTGAATTCTCATCAGCTTCTCTCATCAGCATATCCTCCCAACCACACAGGCTGGTGCCCAACCATCTAAGATTAAGTAAGGTAGTGGTCCAGCAGTAGGTCCTGAAACATCCCAGAAGCCTCTGCCCACCTTCCCTGGCTCCTCCCCCAGGAAAGGTACCTACTTCTGCCTAGCTCCCACTGACTCCCAGGGGTCCAGGCCGGGGTAGGGAAGAGTCAGTGGGCCTTGGTCTGCTTCCTCTAACTGGTGTCGCCTCAGAGCACAAAGCAGGTCCACCATTCCTCACTATCTTGTCACCCCTGCCTCACCACACCTAGGGTTGGTTATTTTTTATTTACAAAGGAAAAAATTCAATCTTGGGGAGGTCTTTAATAACTTGCCTAAGGTGTCACATCTAAGAGCTGAGATTGAAACCCAGACCTGGTGGCTCCTAAACACTGACTCTTTTTGCCATTGTCATCTCCTGGCAGAGCTGCTGGCATTGCCTGGGCCTGTCTACACTGGAAGGAAACCCACCTCCAACTCTCTTGGGCCAACAGAGGCCAATCAGCAAAAATAGAACCAAGAGCTGCCATCTTCTCACAGGCTATCTGAGCCACCCCGGCTGGCAACAATGAGGCCTGGCCTGCCTGGTGGCAGTGGGGATGATAGATTGATTATCCCAAGTGCTGAGCTAGAACCTTCACAGTGACCCTATTTGGCAAAAAAGGGAACCAAAGTTCAGAGAAGGAAAGTGACTTCCCTGAGGGCACACTGCTTCTCACTTCCAACCTCTCCCTTGATTCCACCCTCCAGCTGGACCCCATAACCTCAGGTCCTGAATTCACCCTTCCCTGGGTCCATCCCTTTCCCTCTTCTCCTCCCTTATGGCATGTCCTCTCCTTTTGGGTTTCAGGGTCAGAGGCTTTAGATGACAAGTTTGAAAGTTACCACATCCAGGCCCTCCCTGACTGGGAAAGAAATCAGAGAGAAAGGAGCTACCCAGCGAGATAAGACTCAGGCTGGGAGACTCTGCATCTCCATACCATCTGCTCCCCTGAAATCATGCCCAGGCTCAGGGCCCTTCACTCAGGCAGGGCACTGGCTGTTTCTATCCCACCCCAGGCATGAGCTGTTCATAGAAACCTGAGCTCACACACATCCAAAAATCAGGCCTCATGCCTGCCCCCGCTCCATCTTGCTGTGTATCCTTACACAAGCCACATCCCTCTCTGAGCCTCCTCTTCCTCATTAGAACCATGAGGATCAGCAGCTCAGACATGCCTACGTGTCAGGATCCTTGTGAAGGTCATAGGAGATCCTTGTGAAAGTCATAAAAAATTCAAGGGACAGACCATAAGATAGTGTCCCAGTACAACAGATCTGAGCCAAGGATGGGACGACAGGTACCTCATCCCACCCATCCTTCACCCTCATTACACACAAATTGCCTTCCCTACCTTGCCAGTTCCTGCCACTCTACTGCTAGGAAAGGTAGCTGGAGGTTCAAGGCGACCCTGGGCTACATAGTAAAACACTATCCCAACAAAAAAAAAAAAAAAAAGGAAAGG